AGTCTCAAGTGCCATCTCCTCAAGGAAGCCTGTCTTGCTCTCTCAAGCCTGGCTAAGATTCCTTCGCTCTCTCCTTTCACGCCACTCACTGCTTTATAATAAAATGAGAGGAATGCATGTCCAGCTCTTCCTGACCACAGTGTCCCAAACACAAGGATCCTTTCTTACTCACCAGTGTGAAGGCGAGTGCCTAGCACTATGCCAGGTGCTCAGTAAATGTGGAACAGAAGATCAGATGTGAAGTCATATCACCTTGGCCAGTCACTTAACCTCCCTATTTCTCAGGGTTCTTATATGTGAAGTTACGAGTTGGATGCATTACTTCTCAACTCTGGAAGGGGGTCTAATAGCCCCTCCACTACCAGTCTTCCTTCCCTTTCTATAGCAAATCTAAGGCCATTTTTAGCTTTAAAATTCCAAGATCTGAAATATAATGCAATGAGCTATTATTAATAATGGTGACAGGACCAGATTAATGACACATCATAGAGTTTGTTTGAAAGACACAACAGTATAGGTTATGAGATACATAGGAGTTGGTTTTATTTGCTCAGCAGGACATCTAAATCTATAGGATAATGGGGTGCCCATTAAAAGAGTTTTAGGAATCGAGTGAGTCTAGTAGCGATTTTGCCAAGTTAGAACTATAGGTCCAAACATCTCTTCCTGTGTAGTGAAGGATTGGAGTGGTGGGGGAGCGTGGGGTGGGGGAAGGGGGGTACTTGAGCTTAATCTTGAAGTGTAAGTGTCGGTTGAGTGACTGGTGGGGGGAATGGCATTTCAGAGCAAGAAAGACTGATGAGATGTGGGGGAGTGAGAGAGCATGGCTCGAGGGTCTGTAAACAGGCCCTGATGGCTGAGGCGGAGGGTGTGCTGGGAGGAGGAGCCAAAGAGGGGGCCTTCAGAGGGAGTTTGGAGTAAGATAATGGGTAAGAAGTCAGAACTTATGTGCCATGGTTTGGGGTTCAGACTTTATTCTAAGGGGACAGGAAACCATAGAGGGCTTTAACCAGGCAAGAGAATGGTCAAAAATGGCAAGTTTACTTTTTAGAAAGTTCATATTGCTGGCAAAATAAGAGAATGGCTTGAAGACTGGAGTCAGGAAATTGATTCCTTCTTTCTTTCCATCCATCTAGCTACCCAGCCATCCTTATATTCCTCCACCTTTCCATCTATTCACCCAGTAAACAAACATTATTGAATGCTTGGTTCTGAGAAGAAGCTCTCAATCAGATACACCTACATTTCAAATCCTGCCCTGCCACTTACCCAGCTGTGTGACTTTGGGCGAATTAATCTGTCAATAATTCAATTTCACCTGAAAAATAAGACTAATAATAATGTCCATTAATACTTCATAGGTTGGTTGGGAAGATTAAATGAGATAATGCTTAATAAATGCTTGGCCCCGTGCCGGTAACTCATAAACATTCATAAGCCTTTAGCTATTTTTATTAATATTAACAGATTTGAGGTACGGATTTGGGAGCTGTCATGGTACTGGGATTGTTAAAGCCATGGATATGAAGACCTTCACTAGAATGAGATTCAGTTCAGCAGACATTTACTGAGCATGTACTACTTACACAGTGTCATGTTGGGCAATGTGGGAGGTGTGAAGGTGTGTGCCCCCAGGAGTGTGTCGTTCTTAATTTTAATACCAGGCCGGGTGTGTTAAATGCTTTAGTCAGCTCAGTGGTAGAGATTTAGAACAGCTTTTTGGAGAAGGTGGAGATTGAGAAGGGTCTTAAAGGATGAGCAGGACTCCAGCAGGTAGATATGGAGGAGCACTCTTCATGCACAAGTAGTCAGGAGGCAGGAGAAGGAGACTGCGCATTAAGAAACCCGGGGGAAGAGCAGTCGGACTAGAATAGGGGAACTCTTTAAGATTAGAATATAAGGAGAAAGTATTGAAATGTAGATGTGTCAGATTATTTTCAATAGAGAACTTTGAATTCCATTCTGAGGATTTTGAACTTTATGTGAATGTTAGTAGGGGGCCGATAGATAATATCAGGCTTGTAATTAGAAAGATTTAATGACAAAGATGTGAATAAGTACGGAAGAGGAAAAGGAGATGGAGACTATTGGAAGAATCTAGGCAAGAGGCATTGAGAAGCTGATCTAGGGCCTGATGATGGAAAGGAAGGATGGGCTAAGGAGCTTTACAGAAATGGAATTGATGGGATTCAGTGACTCACTTTTTGTGGGGTGAGATGAAGAGATGGCTTTGTAGCCTGAGAGACTAGGAAATGATAATGCCATTGAGAATGGGCAGTAGTGGGAGGAGGTTTGGGAGGAAAGACAGCAAGCTTGGTTTTGAATCTGAGGTGCTCCTGAGACATCTGTTTGTAGGAAATGTCCACTTGGCAGCAGATTGTTGGGCTGAAGCTAGAAAATGTGATCAGGGCCAGGAGCAGGTAGAGGAGTCTTCTGCTTTGAGGCGGAGTTGAAGTCACAGAAAGCACGAGGTGGCTTGGGTGGTGGAGGACTCACCTTTGGGGAAGGAGTAAATTTCTGGCGGAGTAGCAAGAGAGGGGCCAGTGGCCAAGGCAGGAAGAGGAATAGAAGAGAGAGGTGTGTGTCATCAGGGAGAGGAGGGGAGATTTCAAGAATCAGATGATCAGCAGCCTTCTAAGCACAGAGTTTAAAGTGGCAAATGACAATATAAGTTTTTTATTGACAGTTATTTTTAGTATCGTAAGTGTTGAAAGCAGAATTTTAGGTATCCTTGGGTGGCATAGGTAGGGTCGGCTGCTGTGGCGCCACTCGGCGATGAGGAAATCCATGGACATTTCTATCACTGAGTGAGATTCATGTGGTTTGGGATAGTTGGTTAGAATCTTTTGCCCGCCCCTTGCTTGAATCCCTCCTCAACAGCCAGTTATCAGCAGGGACTCAGAGTTTGAGGAAGGATAAAGGGCTCTCTTTTCCATTCCTAAGTCTGGAATCACCCTGTGTGGAGATGTCCCTTATCTGAGGACAGACCAGAGCCAAGCTGTGGGCTCATCGTGTCTGAGATGGGCATGTGCTAGGTGTTGTCCACACTCGAGCACTTCCCTCAGCAAATTAGTTGAGGTTGGGGTAGAGCTCCTGGCTGTTCTTCTAGCAAAGGAATCCCAGAAGACAGTTTAAACCTTGGAGTACTTGGCTGTGGGTTGAAATTGGCTGGTGAGAAAGAAGGCTACCTCAGAAAGGTGAGCACCTGAGCCTGCCCTTCAGGAGCTTCCCGAGGCTCCCCCCCTACCCCCCAGGACGTGTCCGAGGATCTGCTTGCCACCATCCTAAGGCTCTGCTTTTCCAACTGAGGAAAAGGAACATAACTTCCTTTCTCCAGGGTTTGTACTAGTGAATGAGTTTAGAGAGTCAGGGGGCAAGGATGTTGGGGATAAGGTGAGAACTTGAAGAGCCTCTTTTTCTAAATCACAGTTATTTTTAGTATTATAAGTGAGTTTCTAAATTTAAATTCTGTTTTGGGGTAAAGCAAACCATTGGGCCTTATGTGTCTCCATACATCCTCTGGTCATTTTTGTCTTCCTTTCCTCTGGTCACCTTTGTTTCCTTCTCTCCATCAGTTTCCTTCGAAAAGTTAGAGCACCGCCCTCACCCCCCTCTGCCCCGCTCCCCGCACCTCCTGGTTTGGTCTTTTGGCCTTCTTTCCCTTTCTCTCTGCTGAAGGTCCGCAGGTGGAAGGTTCTGCTGAAAGGGGCATGGTTTTCATTGCAAATGGGTCCAGTGGGACATCTGAGGTTGCAGCTGGATCTTCACGCAAATGGCAGTGTTCCTGACCCTGCACTCCACTTGCTTAGGGCAGGCTGGGATGACCTGGCGCTGACTGCCTCAGATCCGGGCTGTTCCCAAAGCCGGAACCTGCGCTCTGACTGCTGAGTGGCTGAGAGGGACCCTCGGCTTTTCGCCCTCTCCCCTTGTGCTTCTTTGCCTTTCCAGTTTCACATTAGCTTTCCTTCCCTTTTCTCCTGTCTCTTTTCTACTTGACCTTTTCCTTTTTCCATCGCTTGCCAACACCTATTAGAACTTAACTGCACTTAATTTTCCTCTCCTCTTTCTTCTTCTCTTCTCCTTCTATTCCCTTAAGAACACAAGCTAAATATCCAATAGTAAGTCTTTATACAGCTTATAAGCCTTGGTGTAAGTGAATTTGGTTCTGTGCGATGTACAAGTGTACCTCTTGGAAATGAATCTGGGGGTGGGTTATGGAATGTGAGAACTTGTGTGTTCATCTTTGCCCTGGGCAGGGGAAGCAAGAACCAATATGGCTTACAAGGAGATAGTATGGTGCCAGTGAGTTACAAGTCAGAAGACCTGAATTTTGTTTCTGAGCCGTCTGTGGTCGGAGGACACTTAGCTTCTCTTTGCCATACGTTGATCTTCATTTTTAAAATAGGGATTATGGTACTTGTCAGTGCTACCTCGGGGGAATGATTTAAGAACCCAGTGAAATAACATGTATGTGGATGCTTTGAAAAGTAGGATTATTATTGTTATTTTTATGGACAAATATCTCCAAAAAAATGTAGAACCTGGATTTGCAGCACATATAAAATGAGCTGATAGTATTGGATGATCTCTAATGAGTCTTTCAGCTCTTAAATTCTGTTTTTCTTAGATAGTTCTTGACATATAATAGTGGCTCTGACAGTATTTGGATGGATGGACGGACGGATGGTCGGATGAATGGATGGATGGACGGATGGTCGGATGAATGGATGGACAGATGAATATCTAAATGTCTAATTGCCCTCCTTACCCCTTCCTTGTCCTATTGCCGTTTCACATTGGCACCACCGCCCTCTCCTGGCCAGCAGCAGTATTACAGGGCAGTAAGTCATTAGCTGGGCCCGTTTCTCCCTAGCCCCTAGCCCCTAACCCTGGCTCCCTGAGCTCGCTCCTTGGGACCCGTCTTTGGCCTTCAATCACTGACTGCCTGTTTTTCCTCCTCCTCCCCTTTCCCCACTCCCTCTCTCCATCTGCCCCTGCAGCACTGCCAGTAACTCAAACCGCAGCACGCCGGCCTGCTCCCCCATCCTCCGGAAGCGGTCTCGCTCGCCAACCCCACAGAACCCGGACGGAGACGCCATGGTGGAGAAGGGCTCAGATCACTCGTCGGACAAGTCCCCGTCCACACCGGAGCAGGGTGTGCAGCGCAGCTGCTCCTCCCAGTCCGGCCGGAGTGGGGGCAAAAATTCCAAGGTGAGCTGGACCGCCCGGAGACTGTGTGCCTCCTTGTTAGCTGGCTGCAGGGAGGCTGGCATTGGGGCGACGGTGAGATAGGGAACCCCCTCCTCCAGGGACCTGGTGTGATTGACTAGCCTAGTGTCCCAGAGGTAGTGGTTACTCAGTGAGGCGTGGGTGGGGCAGGAAGGGGAGACCCTAGTTACACTTTACCTTCTCAGCGAAGCACTCAGTGGGGGCCCTGGCACTAGGATGATTCCACTATGACTGTTATCTCCCTTTAGGAGCTCGGGAGCATCTGTCACAGACCTCGAGATTTGGAGGAGGGGTGCTCTGGGGATCAGGAGGAGTCATCTGTTTAGCCCTGCTTCCTTTTTCAAATTTGGGGTAGAAGAGCGCATTATTGGGGACAACTCTAGTGCCAGGAAGAGAGTCCTCAGGGAATGTTGCAGAATGCTGTTTTTAACCTCTGCCCTGACCATCACCCTGCCTTGCCTTCGGTACTAACCCCTGTGTACTCATCTGGCCAAGAGGATGGTGACAAGGCGTCTCCATCGCTCCCACATGTGTCAGCATCACCACCTGAGCACTGGGGCCTTTGCCTCAGGATAGGCATAAACCACGCCCCAGGGTCCAGGCTAGTTATGGTTCCCCAGAGATTTTCTTCTCCCAGCCCCAGTCATTTGGGAAGCAGGAGATGTCTTTACCTAGATGCTCCTTCAAAAAACTGCTCTTCCCTGCCGGACTCAGGCCCTGGGGAGCGGGAGGGGATGGGACCCCTGGGAGGCATGGGAGCTGGCTTCCCACCTGAACTTGTCTTTTGATTTCTTGTTCTTCCTCTTCTTCCCCACTATTCCCAAATACCTTCTTTGCATGCATGGTCTTAGTCTCACAAGCGCCTCTCAAAAGTAAGCCATCTTTTGTCTCTGTCTTGGTCTCCCCTCTGGTGTTGAATTGTCTGTAGTGCACCGCACCCTCCCTTGCCCCTGCCCATTTTGGCCCATGTGTCTTGCTTGGTCCCTTTCCCAGAAGGGCCGGCCCCACTGCCCCTGGCAGGCTGGCTTGAAGTCACTGAGGGACCATTCCCACTGCACCTGAAGTCGGAGAACAGACCCAACCCCCTTCCACCCCGTATCCCTGCCTGCTCCCCAAACACTGCCTCGGGCTGGGAATCTCTTCCCTCCTTACATGGTGCCATCTAGAAGCAGAGTCCTGCCAGGGCTTAGTTTCATTTCTTTGGGGAAGGGAGGCCCCAGTGGATTGGGCTGCAGGGCCTGATACCCCCTTGTACCTGCCTTGGTGGGTGATTCCGATTCCCCGGGCAAATTGATTGAGGGTCACGAGTTTCTGTAGGTGAGTTCCCTGGTGTGGTAGAGTGACCTCAGGACTCCAGCTGGCCTGTTCCTTCCCTCTGCCTGCCCGCTGAGAGCCGCTCAGCCTGAGCACGCCTTCTGCTCCCACCCACCGCCCAGCCCAGGGCTCGTGGTCTTCTTAGGATCCTGGATTGTGAGCAGAGGGCATGGTGCCAGCACCTGGAGGTTGGTGGACGTTGACAGGAGCCCCCACCAGGCCCTGCAGAGATGGGACCAGGTCAGGGAGGCTGTGCCCGAGTTGGCCTGGGACCCCAGGATTTCAGAGGCCTGAGGAGAACTTGGAGAGAGCGGAGGGTGAGCAATAGGTATTTTAGAACACACAGCGGGGCTCAGGAAGTAATACACAGGAGGAGGGGGTGGATGTAGCTTGAAGAGGAGAAAGCTGAGGGATGACTTAATAATAGTCTCAAGCCTCTGTAAGTGTTTCGGGGAGGAGGAGGGTGAACAGCTGTTCTCTTTCCTGAGGGAAGAACAAGAGGCTTCAGGGCTAATCCTGCAGTCTGTGACCTTCAGGCTAAAAGCACACCTTGGCTCTGAGGATTTTAAATGACTTGTGGGCCGTGGACAGGGGAGGAGACACTCTGCCCGGAGTGAGGGAGCCGCAGGAACTTTCTGTGAGTTAGGTGTCTTGGCAGGTGCAGGCGCGTCTGGGGACAGGGTTTTGAGATGACCTCTGTCGGCTGCTCCTGAGCCCCTCACACCTCTGGCTGGGGAGAGGGCAGGTATTGCTGGACACGGGCACCAGGTGACTTCTTCCCTCTGCTTCTGCCCACAGTCTTTGCACACTTTTCCATCCTGAGGTGAAGCTGTGGGCTTCCTCACCCTCATACCCCTGTGCCCAGCAAGGTACTCAGTGAGCAGAGCCATACTTATTTATGATCGTTGCTCACCACTTAGAGTGCCTCTCTGTCAGGTGGTGGGTTGAGGTGAGTACCCAGTACTGAAGATTTTTAAAATCTCCTAAATGGTAGGTTTTCTTTGGGAAATGAGTGTGAAGACAGGTTTCCGGCCACAGGCAGCATACAGTTAAGGAAGGAAGATCAGAAACGTGCCCAGATCATCCACAAACCCAGCCTGACTTAGACCCATGTGCTAGTTGCGGATGTTACGTGAAGTCAGAGGCAGGACATGTCTCAGGGAGCAGGTGCTCGGAGCCAGGCTGGAACTCTGAGCGGGCTTTCAGAGAGGCAAAAATGAGGCATTATGAAGGGACCAAGAGTTGAGCATGAGTTGAGTTAATCTTGGCCTCCTCTCATAAGAAGCCAGAGAGGGAGGTGATGGAAGGAGTCTGGGTTTTCTTTCCCTTTGAAGAGCTTGGGTGAGGCAGTGCCTGTCCCCAGCAGACATACTCTCTGAGTTCCCTGGCCTTGGATAGCCGCCTACCCCCCCCCATTCTCTCACCGGCCATGACCATCACCCCTAAAACCACCATCGTCTAATGCAGGTAAAATAGGACTGACCTCTGTGGGGAGGGGCACCCTACCACCCCGAGTGGAAGTGGTAGCCGCCATGGTCCATCTGGGACATGCGTGGGTGGGACACACAGACTTCAGAAAAGGAACGTGAGAGCCAGTGTAGGAATTAGGTTCTACACAGGTCAGGGCCTGGAGCAGAGTGAAGAAAGCTTCAGGGGTGAGGCCAAGAGAGGAGGGGGGTGCGGTCTCCTCCCCCGGTGGAGCACTGTCTCAGGTTGACCAAATGTATCCCTGGCAAGGGATCTGGTAGCTAGAGCTGTTGTCACAGCCAGGCCGCCTCGTTCCCTGTCTCCCATCCCCCTCGTAGAGGAGACGACCTCATACTCTTTTCAGGCAGGCCGGAGAGTGCTTCCACTTCTCCCTGGAGCCAGGCCTCACTCACAGGTCTGTCTTCCCTCCTCTGGGCCTCCTTTTCCTCCTGTGTTGATATGTAGGGGAGAGACTGGGTGATGAGCAGGGTCCCTCTCCTGTGGATCTGTCGCTGTACTGCTGAGGCTAACCCTTGCTAGGTGCAGCCCTCCCAGAGCTGGGAACTAGAGACATCAAGACTTATTTCCACTTCCCAGGACCCCTTGAGTGTGTGCCACCACCCTGCTTCCGCCCTGCAGTGATGGCTTTTGGCCACCAGAGGGAGCCAGTGGCCGTTTCCTGCTGCCACCAGCCCCTGAACTAGGATGGGTTGCCGGGCGGTGCCCAGGAGCCAGGCAAGTCCTTGGCTTGGCCCTGCATCGTGCCTCCCATGCTGGGTGTGCGGAGTCACCCCGTCTCTGTGGCTCTGTCACACCTTTGCCCCTTGACTTTTCCCCTGTTTTTTAATCCTAATTTTTGTGGTTTTTCTTTCCAGTATGACAGACTTAACCTGATCAAAGTAAGAAGTTGTTTTTTCCCCCTAACGTCTGCAAAATGTAGAGCTCCTCTCATCCCCTCCTCTGCCCCCCACCCCCCATCTTCCAGACTGCTGGAGCCTGTGCACAGGGGAGATGTTTTGAGGGATGTGGGTCTGCTTCCAGGGGCCTTGCAATCCTTCAGGCTCTTCTCTTCAGGCCTCTTCTAAGAAACATCTCTCTGTGTCCTGTCCTCAACAGCTCTATTTTTGGGTACTTCTCCTGACTCCCTCCTCCCCTTTTAACCAAGCCCATTTATCACCTGCCAGAAGAGCCTTCACCCCTGCTCCCTAGTTCTGTTCTTTCCGTGCCTCTATCCCTCTCTGCACGAGAGGGGCGTTTCAGTGACCGTGAGCGCAGGCAGCCCCACAAGCCTGCCCTCCCTGTCAGGCAACCCCTTCAGGACTCAGTTCTGGGAGAGCAGAGCCACAAGGATCCAATTTGCCTCTGAGAGGCTGCTCAGAGTTCAGGGACTCGTGCCCACAGTGAGTGTCCTCGGGCTACTGTGGATTTCGCTGGAGAGGTAGGGGCCCATTTTTCCCAGTGGCACCCTCAGTGGTGACAGATAAGAAGCTGCCCAGAGATGGCTGGTTACGGGTATAGTCTCATGCCGAGGGACAAGACAAAGTCCTTGCTCTGGATGGTTATTTCACATTTCTTTCGAGTACTTGAGAGCCCATATTCTTATCCCCCTTGAAAAAAGAGCAAGTATTACACACAAAGGTAGCACACAGCTAGTTGCAGACAGGACACGGGTTTCCTGGTTGAGGCTCTTTGTCACTTTGAAGCTCTTTGTTCCAAACAGATTCAGAAGAGACAGGCATCTGTGTGGCAGGATGTGAAAAGAGAAAATCTACTTCTGCTGCTTACCTGAAGTGGGAGGGAGAGTACTGTGCAGGCGAAATCATGAAGGATCCTGGGTCCTCCCACCCAGCTGCGTTCCTGTTGCCCCCTTTCCTCCTAGGGTCTTTCATGAAGGCCAGAACAATGGCATGAGGAGCTAGGGGGTGGGTGACAGAGACTCTTCTCATCTGTGAAGCAGATGTCTGATGACCTGGCTTTGGTTTGACGAAATGCTGGCGGCTCCCAGAGCGTGGCTTTCCACTACTGGGACGTGTATGCTAATGAATATCTGAGCAGCCTCATGCCCTATGATCTCAGAGTCAGGACCCAGGAATTAAGATGTCCCAAAGGGGCAGATAAAGTCAGATGCAGCCTCCTTGCCCCATCCATTCTTCTCCAGATCGGGTAACCTTAGCTGAAATGCTTTGAGGCCAATTTTCAGTTCCAGGTCCGGGATTCCCATGTGGCGATAGCTCCCTCAGCGATGAAACTGCTGCTTTTGAATATTTGGATTTGGTCCCTTTACCTGCTAAGACCTCTGGATTGAAGGAGAAGATGAGGCTCTGGTGGGAATACATGACTTCCAGATGGGCCATGGTGACAGCCTTTGTTGGGAAATGCCATGGAGAGCATCTTGCAGAGGGGCATTGAGAGCCTGCCTTGCCATCCCCACCTCTGGCCGTATTCTGGCCAGTGAGATGGGGTGTGAGGATGAATCACAACCACGGGAGGCAGCATTGCCCATGCCTACCCCAGCTCTGCTGACACACTTCCCCTTCAGAGTGAAGGTTGAAGATTTCTATAGAGTTCTTCTGGTGGGATGGGAGAGCTGGCGAGGGGAGGGGGGATCACGTGACCACGCTATCATCACCGCAGCACACTCACCTGTCCTCCACCCCGCCAGACACATGCACAGCAGACATCCTGAGACAGTGGCTGCCCTCTTCCCTGATGACTCGGGGCCTCTTACGTCCAGGTGGAGGGGATAAAGGTTGCTGATTGTGCCCAGTATCCACACCTCTGTGTATAGTTAAGATGTTGACCTGCAGGCAAAGTTTCCCTCTACTCAGTGATTCTCCTCCTGAGTTACACCCTTGGCAAGCTTTTAAAAATGAAAATCCCCCAGCCCCAATCTAAGCCTGATGGATCAGCACCTCAAGGGATGGCGCCTAGGCAAGTGTGTGTGTGTGTGTATGTGTATGTATGTGTATATGTATGTATATCTATTCCTATCTGCCTGTCTGTTTGTCTGTCTTCTAAGTGGGATGTGCAGAAGGGACTCCTGGCCATAGAGATCACAGATAGACAAGGCACAATCTTAGCCATCCCTCTTCTTTCCCTGAAAAACTTCAGTTACTGTGAAGATGAGTAACCTTTGCTCAAGGCTAGGAATGGAGAGCACCTGAATTCTGGAGCTGGGGCGTAGTCTGGTTTTGTTGGTATTAAATTATGGCACCAGAAAGTTGAGAAGGACCGTAGCAATTATGTGATTCAACCTTCCTCCCAGTGTAGAACCCCCAACCACTCCCCTGCCATTATCACTTAGGTGATCAGCCAGCTCTTGGGCAGAAGGAGGATTTTACTCATCTGCTCGATGGGAACACAGTTGGAGGAAGCTTCTAAGCAGTCCTTTTCCTTCCCATACTGCAAAGAGCCCCCTCCTGCCTTCTCCAGAGGGGCCGACTTGGAGCGGAAGGCTGGGTTGGCCACCATCTCTACTTTGCTTCTGGTCAGGGCCCATTTAGGGACTGGGTCTTGGATGCCTGCCGTGCATCCTTTACCCCCATCAGAAGAAGCTTGTGATGGGGCTCCGACTCCCTTCCAGCTGAGCTCTAGCGGGTGCTGCCGCTGCCTGCCTCCCCAGTCGCGGTGGGGCTTCCAGCATGGACTGCTCCCTGGGCCTCCTTTCTGGAGCTGTCTTGAGAAAGGAGGCCCCCTCCCGAGCAGCAACATGGGAAGCATTCAGCTGCATTTGGGTTCCTCCTCCCTGCCTGCCCTCTGCTGTCTGTGTAACCTTCCCTCTGGAGCCAGGAGTACCCTGGCCATTCCCAGCATCTCTTCCCTGACTAATTTTACTTTCTCTTTTATTTTGTCCTTTCAGAAAAGCCAGAGTTGGTATAATGTAAGTATCCTTGTTTCTCCTCTTGTTGGGTACCTGTGGAGCGGGCGGGGGCTGGAAGTGGTCAGGGGGACGCTGAGGTGTGGAGAATAGTTTGGTTCCCCCATGGGCTTGAGTAAATTGAGGCCTGGAAAGGTGGGCTCTTCCTCTGACCAGCCTCCTCCCTCAAAAACAGATACAGTGGTTATCTTTTGTAGCAGGCCAAGACTGCTGGTGAGGGAGGATTTGATTCAGAGAGACCAGGGAGGGATGGCCTGCCTTATGCTCCCCTAGACTCCTGGACCAGGCTCCTCCAACCCTCAGGGAAGGGACCAGTCAGGGAGGCATGCCTGGGCCAGACAGATTGCGGGACTGGGACAGCCCTGGGGCTTGAACTTAGGGCCAAAGTTTCCTTTCCTTAACCAAGACAGTTTGGGGGAAATGCAGCCAGAAAACTCTCCCCTCTCAGTGGAGAGGCTGTCCCATGTAATGGAATTTGACTTCTGCACCAAGGCATACCTCTGTGGCTCCAAGGGCATGCTCCTTCTAGAAGACATCCACTGCTCTGGGTCTGGTGAAGGTGTAGCCTGGGGTCGTCCAGAGGGTGGTTCAGCCAGCTGCTCCATACCCAGGAACCGTATAATGAAGTGAACAGTCCCTGCAGAGGCCACATCCTCGGTCACATAGACTGGGCCCCAAGATTTTGAACTTTTCCTCTGAAGAGCAGTTGGCTGAAGTTTCTCAGCTGGCCCCTACCCCTTGTGCTCCGCCCTCTGGGACTTCTCAGTGGAGGGACTGGTTGTTTGCAACCATGGCCTGGCCTCAGATCATCCTCTTTCCTTCTCTGAGTCTGCGTTCCCCGCACTTGACTGATTGATCTCGTGGATGCCATCTTTCCCCCTCTCCTAACACCAGGCTCTACCTCGGCAGGTTACATGGGCATGGGGAAGGTGTGGGGGAAGGTGGCTGTGAATGACAGAAGTTGGGAACACTCTGGGGAAGGGGAGGGTGGGTGGGGGGTAAGGGCAAGGCTTGGTTTAATGTAGGGACTTGGGTTGGAATCACTGGTGTATGTGTCTGGGGGTGTTTTCCTATAGAGCTCAGTGAGTCCCCCAAATCAAGCACATGTCAGTTAGCCCTGTGGCTCCCGCCCTCCTGCTGCTCAGCACACCTGCCTATCTCTGGACAGCTCAGAATTGATCAATCTACCCACCTTAGCCCGACCCAGCACAAACAAGGCTGAGGTTGGTGGGCTGTGCTGATGAGAGGGGAGTTGAGGGCTGAGGTGGCTTGCGTGGGGGAGAAGCTGGACTCCACCCCCTGATCCCCCACCCTCCCCCTTGGGCCCCCCCCATGGACTTCAGCTGGCCTCATGGCCTCCCCACGCTGCTTAGAGCTCACATCCTGGAGGAAAGAGAAGCTCCGTGTGTGTGGGAAAGAGGTGGGGGAGGGAGGGGTGCTGTGTGGGGACCTCGCATCCTTGCCTGATGGAACCTTCCACCCTTCTGAGCAGTGTTGCAAAACTAGTGCCCCCAAAGGGGAACAGGAAACCCGTGGCCACAGACCTATGAGACAGTTAAAACTGCCAGATGTGGACGTGAAAAGTACCCATTTTTGCTGCTAGTCTCTGCCCTCTCCCTCTCATCTGCTGCTTCTCTTTGCTCTTTCTGTTCCGTCTCAACCTTTCCTTTTCTTTAGCTCTTCCCTACCCTTTCCTCCCTGACTCCCCCTTTTTTCTTTTCTCCACCTCTGTTTTGCCTCTCCTTTCTCTGATTTCCATCTCCTGGCTGGCTTTCTCTTTCTCTCTGATTCTAGCAGGATTTACTTTCTTTCTTCTCTGGTCTTTCTCCCATCCTTTCACCTCTAATTTCTTATCTCTCAGCCCCACACATAAGAACTGGCCTCTGAGCGCTCAGCAGAGTGACCAGCTAGAAATAGATGCTGCCTCTTGGCTGGAAGGGCCAGGTGCCACATGGGCGACCAGAAGTCAGGGGTTCCGATGACAGATAAGGGAGAGAGAGCAGAGGAGCCGGGCCTGGCCGGATACCTGCTTCCTGATGGACTGAGTCCACCTGCAGCTGGAGACATGTGGGAGCAGTCAGCCCTCACTGACTCTGCAAGTCTCTGTGTAAAATCCTCCTCCAAAATACACTCGTTTGCCAGGCCGTTCCTGCCTCTCACCCTCGATTAATCCTAGGTTGCCTCCTTTCACCCTCCACCCCTCACCCCTGTTGAATTACAGAAACATTATTGATCACCCAGCAACAGATCATTAACTCACAGAGGCCAAGGGCACGAGGGACTCTGCTGAGCAGCGTTCAGTGATTCCCTCCTGACTCCCCGCTCCTGGACTCCTGCTCTCACCCTGGGGCTTATTCTAGAAACTCAGCTGCACTAGACATCATGGGATCCATCCACAATGTCTTCCTGCTGCTCCCGCCGCCTCTACGCCCCCATTCAGGGTCCCCTGTGTCTGCCCTCCACGGCCTGGGTGCCACCCTCTTCCTGGTCCTGCTAAACTTCCAGTGTGGACATCCTGACCTGGTGCTGAGACAGGGAGCAGAATGGAACAGTGTGGAGGAGGGGGATAGAAATGGCAGGTGGACTTTGGGAGGAAGAGGCAGAAGCTGAGCAAATGGTAGGAAGCTGGGAGGTGACAACGGACCTCTAGCTGGCCTGACCTGCAGATGTCAGGAGCTGTGTCTAGTTTATCTTTCCATTGTTTCTTCATGTGTTGTCACATTCAGAGGGTAATCAGCAGCTGCCATAGTGGGTAGAGCCCTAGAGGGGCTGCCTTCAAGTAACACCAGGACCCCCTCCTCCAATTATAACTCTGCTCTCTTCCTGAGACTAGTGCCCTGGCTCTGGGCTCACCCACTTCTGGGTGTCTGTAGAACAGCAAGATTCTGCCTGTTGCATACAGCAAGTGTCACCCCCATGCGTGCACGCTCTGATGGTACTAGTGTGCTTATCTGTGGGCAGGGGCCTGAGCATGGCTTTCCCTTAGGCACGACTGCTCTGGGTCAATCATGACGCTATGACCTGGGTGTTTTCCCAGAGCCACCTGAATCAATGCACACAGGTGTGGAGTGCCCCATGCTCCCCGTGCCTGTGCCCCTGGCTGGCTGGACACCCTGCTCCTGCAGTGCGCCGTGCATGTATCTATGCTCTCGTGTGCAGAGGCCCCATCAGTAAACTTCGGTTCAACCCCCTGCTCACCAGCATTGCCCCCAATAGTTCATCCATGTGTTTTCAGGAGTCCCTTGCCCTGCCCTTTTGCTTTGACCTGGTTTTCTGTTCTCCCTGAGTGTGCTCCATCCTCCTCCTTGCCTCTGTGTTGCCCTGAGTTGGTTAGACTCTGACCTTCGGGAAGGATACCCTGTCTCTCCTTCTCAGCTCTGCTGGCAGCCCTGTTTGTATTAAAGTCTCTCTCCTGACACTGGTGGTAGCTCTGCATCTGTTCTGCTGCCTGAGGCTCTATCGTTGCACTGGAAGTCCTTCAGATAGGTAAAGGCTTTGTAGTCCCCAGCTCTGGGGACAGTTAGAAACGCCCTGGCCAGATTCAGGACAGCGAGGGTCGGCACAGAGTTGCTGACCGTCGTGAGAACATCTCAGGCCCGCTGGAGTAATCTGGGGCTGATGTGAGGGGAAGCCCACCCAGCACCTCCCTGCCGGCTTCCCAGCCTCCTCCCTCACCTGCTCCTTCTGCATTGTGCTTTTACCTGTTTAGCCAAGGAGGAGGTGTCACCATGGTGACAGACCACCTGGGGCTAAAGAGTGCATCCCACGAAGGGAAGTGGCTGAACCCCAGGAACATTCAGGTCAAGAGTGGGGTTTGAAGGCCGGGCCATCTGCAACTGCCCTGAGTCCCCCCAGGCCTGATCTTACCCTTAACGCCCCCCTTGACCATCCCAATTTTATTCATCAAGGCCTCCAGCTTGGGAGGTGCAGCCCCAATAGATGTGAGATGGAGGGATAAGCAGAAACAGGGCTTTGGCTTCAGCAGGGAGCCAAGGGGAAAGTTGGGGGTGTGAGGGGTGCAGTCTGCCCCTCTAAGATGGCCCCTGCTCGGCGCAGCAGGCTTACATCTCGGATGAAGCAAATAGTCGTAGAAGTCTCCTCCCTGGAGCCTCAGGTGGGTAAGGTACTGTCCTCATCTGCCTCGCCTCCCTTTCCTGGGGTCAGTCATCTCCGTGGTAACCCAGGGAAGGAAATTTTTGAGATCAGCGGAGGGCAGCCCAGACCCTGGCAGCTGCCTAGGCGTAGCACCCAGATTGCCTGAACCCCCCAGGTTAGGGATGCTGGCTTTCTGGCGGGGAGGAAGGGATGGTGCTGATCTTGTGGAATGACCAAGCAAGTCTGGCAGGCATAAGACTGAGAGCCGGAGAGCAAAGCTTTGTAGGAATGGAGTTCAGATGTTAGGGGGACGGTGAAGGAAGCAGGAGTGCTGAAAGGGGAACTGCCGGTGACACCCTTAGGAGCCTGGTATCTTTCTCCAGGGACTGACTGCTTCCTCCAGTTGCGTCCATCTCCCCTCTGTTATTTACCCATTATCTCGAAGAGTCTTCCTGACCCCCATTCCCCTGACAACCATCCTTAACTTTCTCCAGAGTGGACCCATCTTTCCAGGGGAGACCCACTCCCACTCCTCTCTCCACCTTTCTGTGTTACCCCCATGCCCACCCCCGGCTCTCCTCTTTCTTTGCTCAATCACCTCCCCCATCTCCACTCTCCCCTTATCCCACATCTGGCTCCTCTCGACACGGATTTGGTTGGAGGGCCAGAGTTTTCCTTGAGGGTCTTAATTGATTTCTTCCTAGGTGAGGCCAGTACTCCACCAAAGTCCATCTTTTTTCTCCTGGGCTCCTCTACCCCCTTCTCCCCCCTGCTGTGCCCAGGGAGGGGGTACCACTTGGTCCCAGCTCCCAGTGTTTGTCATAGAGTTAATGTTTAGCCCAAGGCCAATTCCCTCTCCTCAGGCTGGAAGCTACCTGCTGCCCTGCCCTGCCCAGCCCTTGTGAGGG